AGATGGCTACGAATTTTCGAAATTATATCGAACGATAGCGATTTAGGGCGAATATCGTTCGATCGTAAAATAAAGTAATTAACGATTTGATGGTTAATTCATCTGTTCTTATCTCGGCAGGGGGATAAGATTGCCCGATCAGTGCTTCGATTAGGTATCACACCGGGCGATAGATAAATCTTAATTGGTGTCACGTATCGATTGGCCACGGCGTTGTGTATATGTAAATGCTGTTAATCACACTTTATCCCCTTCGCTAGGTTCGCTTTAATTTCAACGGTTCAAAGTGTCGAAGTATGAAATCTAAAAACCTGAAAGCCGAAACATGTGATGATCATACGATAATGCGTAGCGTATCAGTGTGATATAATAAGCATTTATAGAGATTTGCTTAAAATTTCTGAATCGATAGAAACACACACGTATGGGAATACATACATACATACGCGTAATGTTAGTACGTGTATTTTTGATTTTCAATTTTAGTCACGTACCTACCGGTGTATTTTTTTCGTAATACTTTTCTCCGTGTATAGTGTTACACGCCTCATGTAAAAGTTATATATCTAATAATAATATATATAATATGTTGTAACATAACATATCAACATAATATATCGTGTACATTTCAATATATAGTATATCTACATATTTTACATACATATTGCTAAAAATTTATCTTCAGTGTACAACAATTGTAATATTTCATAAAATGAATGCTCATTTATATTGAGCATGCATTAACTTCAAATTGAAAAATTGATAAATGAAATGCCAAATTAAATATGAAATATTATATAATTATATTGTAATAATACATATAAAAAATTAAATAAAAATAATTAAATAAAAATTAAATAAAAATAATTAGTAAAATTATATTGTAATAATACATGGATAATTATAGTACGTCACATGATATTATGTAAGATATAATGCATATAAATAATATAATATACATATCTACATACATATTAATAACATTAGATATTATATTATTAGATATATTATTTATTATCTTTTACAGAAGGCATATTGTAACAATATTGGATATAATATTATGTAATATTACTACTATATGCAATACTGCTGTTAGATTATATACATATTAACAATACAAAAGAGAAAACATAACGAAATCTGTATAAAAATCCGCAGTCCATGAATTACAAGCAAATTATCCGATCATCTAACTACACGAGTGAATACCGCATTTAATATCTATTTAACCACATAGATATTTAGTTATTTACTCAGTCAATGTGGCGTATCTTTTCTAATACTGCTGTTAGATTATATACATATTAATAATAAAAAAGAGAAAACATAACGAAATCTGTACAAAAATCCGCAGTCCATGAATTACAAACAAATTATCCGATCATCTAACTACACGAGTGAATATCGCATTTAATATCTATTTAACCACATAGATATTTAGTTATTTACTCAGTCAATATGGCGTATCTTTTCTAATATCTCTTTTCCCGTGCTTTCCTTCCTTTCTCCCTCTCCTTCCCCATTCCCCTTTTATTTTCCTAATACTTTCTATTCGCTCTCTTCAGCCCTCACCGCGCTACGAATCGAGGTCTATCTCCTAATTAGAATCTTCCGGCCCCCATGTGGCCGCATCGTCAAGTTCGGCCCTCACCGCCCATTACTTTTAATGGCGTTGTTAATGAAACTAGGTGTCGCCAAATTAACCTCTCGTTTCAGCAACGCTCAACCGAAATTGAACGCTACGTATATATCGCCCGATGCACGATGGAAACGGTTTCGTGTCAAGTTCATAATTTATAGTGCATATCGCATGCACGTGTATAACTCGTTAAACGGAAACCACGGGGGCCGCGGAAGCCGCAGAGGCCGCGAAAATCTCGGTATCAGTCTGACCCCTATCTCGAATAATTGATTTCTTTTAGAAATCTGTTTCATCCAATGAAATACAATATCGATGGTTATCCTAACAGTGATACCTATTATTATATTACATTATTATATAACATTAACATTATTATATTATATCGCATCAATAATATTTGTGTAGTAACAATGCAGTGTTAGTAATAATATCAATAATATTATTACCATAGTATCAATAATTGTAGTGTCATCCGAAATATATCCGCAGAATATATTAGCTGCTTATATATTTCTAAGCACAAATAAAAGTGGAAGAAAGAATTGAAATGGATACATTGCTAAAGGACCGGAGATATTTGGGAAATTAAACATTCCAAAAATCCACAGAAGCCACATAACACATAACATGTTCTCAAAGTGGAGAATTTGTTATATTTGTTAAAAACGAGGTGTATAATGTATAAAATAACACATAGCACGTGTATAGATTGTAACGTATGTAACAATACATCATTCGCGTAAATGTGTATATAACAAGATACAATTAAACACTGAGGTACAACAAGTAAAAGTCAAATTGGAGAATGGAACCGGGGCAAAGGACGCACGAAATAGCAAAGAAGGGCACGATGTAACGCGAAACAAGTGCGCCACGTTTGAAAACCACTGGCACTGGCTGATTACCGCGGTAACCATCCCCCGAGCGCCAATTAATCTTAACTTTTACGGGGCAAACACTTTTCATTAAGCTCGGTCCTGCCTCCAACCGGAGTCGAGTTATCCCCACCACCACCCTTGCAACCTTAGCCACCCTTGCCTACTTTCCTTTCCTTTTTTTTTCTTTCTCTCTCTCTCTCTCTCTCTCTCTCTCTCTCTCTCTCTCTTTCCACCCCTACTCTCTTCTGGGAAGCACGGCAGGAGGCTCTCTTCGCACTCGTCCTCCAGCGAGCATGTCGAGGAAGAGGTGAGGTACGGGCGAGGTATACTGGCGAGGAACGGCAAGGAAAATGGTTCCCCAGACAAGCGTTTAATCTGGCTCTAATTAGCAACTTACCCTCCGCCCACGTCTCGGCGTTTCACCTAGTCTTTCTCTCTCTTTCTTTCTCTCTCGGTTTATCGTTCTTTCTTTCTCGTTCTATCATTCTATCCTCATCTAGTGTTTCTCTACTTTCCCGTTCCTCCTTCTTCCACATCCTCATCCGCTCTATCCCCTTCTACTCTGTGCAGGGCACTCTCTTCTTGGTTTATCCAGTTGTTGCCAAGCTTTTAGCCAGGCCAAAAATATGGAACGCTTTCCATGGTTACTGGATGTAACCACCACCTGCCTCACTTATTTTACATGGCGTTTAATTTAATATTCGTTCGACCCTCGGCTGTTTTTCGGATATCGTCGATTAATACCGAGGCTTGGTTTTTATTGGTACCACCGAGAAAGAGAAACAAGGTGAGAATGCCTTTTCTCATACGACGCTCGTTTCCCCGAGAAAATTAAATTCTGAAATTTGTCAGGTCAGAAGCGACTCACTTGTCCGAAAAATTTTAGATCCCGTATTGTTCATTTGCTCTTGCACTTACTCTTGTGGAATAACCTTCCGTCGATTGTTTGTCCCGGATTGTTTGTTTAATTTTGATATCTGACAAAATTTTCGAACTCGATTTTTTTGTTGAAAACGGGGACTAAAAGATTACACCTACTTCTCTGTTATATCGTGGAAATTGGGATACTCTGTATGTTAAATTGTTAGGTGCGAAATTTGTCAGTTCTGTGAACGTATAAAATCATTCGGAAACTAAAAATGCTGCTTGGTAATATTTATTGATGGGCCGTTTAAAGCTTGAAATTAATCGAATGCTCTGTGGATTGTTTTGTTACAAAAAGATGGAATATCCACGAAGCGATACTAAATTCAAGAGCATTTTTTAAAGATCATTAAACTTCGATTTAATACAATAAAAGCTTAGTATAACATTAGTACTGATTTCCCAGAAGGCGTAAAAAATATGAAAAGATTAAATTGAAGAAAAAAAATACTTTTGCGGATTTTTATAGGAAATTTGAAAATATAATTATATAATAATTTTCTGATTATATAAGATTATATAAGATGTCCAAAATATAGTATTCTTTACAACACTTAGTAGATAAACTGATTTTTCGCCTAACTTTGTACACATGATAAAAATATGTATTTGGATAAATATCTGCAGGCTAATTACAATTTTATTTCCCGGTCAGAATCAATTCGATTAATATTGTTTTCGAGAAAAAGAATAAACTCGATTTCGAATCTAATCTAATATATTTCGAATTTAAATTAGTTAAAAGTAATTTACTAACTAAACGATTTTTTATTACCGTTCTCTAGACTCTTTGATAAATTATCACAATTTTATTTTATAGAATAACACGATAAATTATGTTATAATTTATTTAATTTATTGGGCCGGAGAAAGTTTTATTTGATTGCTCATATTTTATCGTTTCCTTTCTTACTGACAGATCGTATAACAATAAACGAGTATCTCGTTGATAATATAACCGAGCACACAAAACACATAAAGTTATATCAGAAGCATAATGTGACATTTCTTTTTCTATTGCAAAATAATTCTATATAGTTATTTAAAAACGAATCTCTAAATGCGTTTTTTGTACAAATAAGGAAATATTAAAACATACCGATTGGTGATAACTTTGAAGCACCTTATCTCTAATACACCTCGTCTGTGATTTGAAGGTTTTTCTCGATAATACAGATCTCTTGGATAATTTTCAAAAATTTCGATGACAGCTATTTGGTAGTAATTTCAAAGAAACTGTAAGAACTTTTAAAACAGATGTTCGTCGATGATTTTACGTTTGAAAATTTTTAATCATTTACTCAATATTTGCCGTAGAAAAATTTTTTTCAATAAATAAATACAATCGAAAGAATAACTCTCGAAGTTATCGTACTGTAGGAATTAAAAACATTTTTTTAATATAATGTAACAAAACGACTTTTGTATAATATAATAAAACGCGAAAGTATTTGAACACTTACCTTTTGCAATGAAAGGGTTGAACGTGAATGAAATAAAAAAATGAACAACTGTATAAATGACAATAGGAAATATTGACAGAATTAGTTCAAACGGAGGTTCTACTAATCTTTATCTTTTTATCAAGAAATCAGAATTAACAATTTCTCTTGGCGACACAGAGATTGTATTCCAATTGATCGTACAATAGTTGATTAGTTTATACCAATATAAATTATTTCCATTAATGACGATTAATCCGCGAATATCGAAACAAATTATCCGATATTCAGTATAAAATCGCATTGTAAACATTTTTACGCAAATTGTTACCTCGTCGCACATTTATCGAGCTACATTTTTGAATTTTATCCGTGTGTCTCTTCTATGTCCTTACGGATTAAAAAATTTAACTCATTACTTTGTCGATCCAAGGTACGAATTTCTGGATATTGGTATATACACCTGGCAGATGTTCCCGACCGCATCCAATACCCCATGATACGAGACCGATCAGTACGTGTCTTCCTTCGACAGACATAGTTAAAGGACCACCTGAGTCACCCTGTGTTCAAATATAAATTAAATTAATCTCATCATAAATTAAAAAGTAAATCTCATTCAATAATATTCAATGCATCGTGTCCGGGTGTTACTCAATAAATAGCATCATTAAATGAAAGATTTGGGGATTACTTAAATAGCATCGCTATTATCAAAAAAATCAGGTTCGATTGGTACAGTGATGATCGATATTTTTAAATATTTTTGAATTTAATAATTATGAATAATAACATGTTTGTAAATGATAAATGTAGAATTATACAATGTGAAAAATAGAATTTTCTAATATTGAAAATTTAATGCTACTTTCATCTCAATTAATTACCTATGATTATTATTGTTAAATAGAATATTTGAGTTAAAGTGAACTGGCTTCAATACTCAACACCTATCTAAAATAGATTTCAGCGCAAAATATTCGCTGTAATAATTTCGTTATATTGCCTTGACGCGTTTGACGTGGGGAAAATTAATTTTTCCCACTTTGGTACGATTACTATAGATCATTGGAATAAATCAGAATAAGGTAAAAACAATTTAATACAAGCGAAGTCGATTTACCTGACAGGAATCTCGTCCACCTTCCTTGTAACCCGCGCACAAAAAGACATCGTGAATGGTTTCGCGTCTTCCAGCCGCTCTAAACCATCGCTGACACCTCTCATTGGGAATTACCTGAAAACAATTGCCTTATATATAACTCAAATTTCGCACACTTGTGTTTCTGTGAGATATCATCATTTAAAATTTATCCCTAAGTTCGGTATATCAATTCTTCTCATTTCAGAAAATTTGTTTTTTTAGGTCTTTAGGTTTTTTAGATTTTTATAAGTCGTAAATCTTATATTCTAGAATTAATATACAAGACATACTATATTACATATATGGATATAGATATAATATACTATATTAGAATTAATATATATTAATATTATAGAATTAATATATATTAATATTATAGAATTAATATATATTAATATTATAATTAATATATATTAATATTATAATTAATATATATTAATATTATAGAATTAATATATATTAATATTATAGAATTAATATATATTAGATACATAGATATAAATATAACATACTATATTAGATTTAAATATATATTAATATTATATATTAAATATATAAATATAGATGTAATGTATTATATTAAAATTAATATATAAATATATCAATTATTTGATATTGTGTTTCGAGGAGTTTTTTTTTTATGGTCACAGATGTACATACGTACTTCGACGTCAACTTCTTGAAGAACTGTCGGCGCCGAACTTTGTCCGTGTCTGGTTCTACCCCAACCGGCGACCGTTGCTGTACGTCCAGAAATTTTGAGGTTCTTCGCTGGTAAGCAGACAGGTACGATATGTTGCTTGAACGCCACTGTTCTCGACAGTTTCACCAACGCCACGTCATTCCGGAAGTCGATCGGCGAATATTGCGGATGAACCTGTTATTTTCAGTAACAAAATCTATCTTCACACAAGAACTTACTGCCTTCACGCAAACTTACTGCCTTGCAATAATTTGTTAGACACCGCGCGTCGTTCACAACTTTTTCTTCTTCCATAATTTCCATCGGGATCTTTCAGATTCGTTATCACTTTACGATTTTTTCTATCTGTTTTTCAATTTGACATTTCTCCCGCAATCAAGTTTTACAAATTTATTTGTTAGAATAAGTATAATATACAAGAGTTAATGATACATAGGAAAAATAATATCATCTGCCATTTTTCAAACTTTCGTAAGAAGCAATAAAAAGCCTAGTTTATATGAATTATGTGAATTATTGAGTGTCAGGACTGTCTTGAGAAATTTTTTCTACTGAAATTCTTCTTGTGTTCTTCTTACGTCGTTATTATTATAGCTTTCACTTTATGATTATTAGCAAATTATAAAAAGAGGAAGTCTAAGTTGTTTGCTAGATTTAAGTACGATGTTCCCTCAGAACAGTCGAGTGTAAAGGATTAATCTGTGCATTCTCACCACTTTACGATGCACAATATGTATAAGAAAATATAGGGTGTGCTATTTTTTTGTAGAGCTTTTAGTCTCAGCCCGTAAAAATGTGAAAACCATAAGATCTTTCTACGATGTCATACATACGCGAAAGAAATTCAAGATTGCAGCCTCACGCTTACCTCTTTCCTTTCGACGTTAAACTCTTCGTGCAGCAGTCGTTCGGACGCATCTCTAACGTCCCATTCACCAAGACGTACTTTCAGATTGCCATTCGGTGTTCTGCGTGAAAAGAAGCGTTGATCATTGCCGTTCAAACTGATAATTACGAATTTCAAAATATGTTCTAATTGCTAGATGTTTCTTCATACTAACGTTGCGACACAATGCGCCGCGGTAACAACCCATCTGTTGTTCAACAAAGCACCGCCGCACGACAGTTTCTTTGATAAAAATCCAGACTTGATGATGGCGGCCTACATTTTCAAAGGAAATAGAATGAGTAATAGAAACCGAATTTATTAGAAAATTTATAGTCTCTGGTCAATAAGAATATTCTCTTTTTTCTTTTTTTTACTTTTTTTTAGTAAAGTTAAAAATCATATTTATTAATGACAAAGCGTATATTAATCATTAAAGTATTATACGCATACGGTCTTCTCGTGCTTGCGCCAGAGATTTCTTTTCGTATTTATTCAAATACTCAAATATTCAAGTACGCAAAATTAAATTTATTCAAATACTCAAATATTCAAATGCACGAAATTAAATTTATTCAAATACTCAAATATTCCAATGCGCAAAATTAAATTTATTCAAATACTCAAATATTCAAATGCACGAAATTAAATTTATTCAAATACTCAAATATTCCAATGCGCAAAATTAAATTTATTCAAATACTCAAATATTCAAATGCACGAAATTAAATTTATTCAAATACTCAAATATTCCAATGCGCAAAATTAAATTTATTCAAATACTCAAATATTTAAATGCACGAAATTAAATTTATTCAAATACTCAAATATTTAAATTAATACAAAATTAATTTAATTTTCAGAGACTGTAGATTTCCTTCAGAAATTTATACAACTCGACTCTGTCGAATTTCCCGACAAATACCTGCCATGGGTGACTACCGAAACTGGAACTGTGCCCACCCACGATTCTATTGCTCCTCGTGTAAAGTTCACCGCAGCCTGCAAAGCAACGCAAAACGAAATCGGTGTCGCATGTAAGGGGAAGAACGCAGCTTTAGTTTAAAAGGTAAAGCAATCGAATAATGCGGTATCTGATATCGATATCGAACGCATGTTCGATGGTCGTCGATATTGATACCGATGACCACGATCTTTCTCGCAATTGAACTTTCTCAAGGTCTCGTGCTTCTTACCTGCGAGCGTGTTCTTTCTGCGAATACGCACGCGGTCACCGGCTATTTCCTTACTTTTACTCCTTATTTCTTTCGTTTCTTGTCCGCTTTACTATCCTTCACCTGTCTATCCTTGATACTTGTTTGTCGTTGTTGTGTAATAGCGATTTGTAATACAAAGCCACATACATGGAAACAGGGTGCAAAGTGATGGACAGAAAAAGAGAGACTTCAAGCGAAGAAAAGTGCTTCCTTCCTTTCTCATATATATATATATATATATATATATATATATATATATATTTGTTTTATTAAAGATAAAAAGATAATTGTCGTCGATTAAATTGCACGAATTTCAAAAGATAATCCTGCTCAGTCACTATTTGTGATAAATGTTTTTAACTCTGTTATATTTACATTAAGCTGTGCTCAAAATGGAAGAAACGTTGCTAACATTGCAACTGACTTTATTAAAGAAAAAATTCCCATAAATGTTGTAATTAGCTTCATCAAGGGTTAAAAGTATCACTTTTTATGGTATATTATATTCTATATATTTTATACTTTAATATATATTTTCTATAGTTACATTTTATATTTTAATATATATTTTCTATAGTTATATTTTATATTTTAATATATATTTTCTATAGTTATATTTTATATTTTAATATATATTTTCTATAGTTATATTTTATATTTTAATATATATTTTCTATAGTTATATTTTATATTTTAATATATATTTTCTATAGTTATATTTTATATTTTAATATATATTTTCTATAGTTATATTTTATATTTTAATGATATATTTTATATTATACTACAATAGCATGACATTTCGTATTGTGATATTTTTATATATATTTCTTATATTTTATACTTTCATATAAAAGGCTTCGTTAATATTATAACTAGCTTTATCAGAGAATAAAAGATCAGCACTCAAAACATCAGCAAACAGTATAACAGCTAACAGTAAATATAACAGTGTCAATCCAATTTTCATTCACCCCTGTTTTCCCTTTCTACATTATTATATCTCCCATTATTGATTCATCCTTGGAATTCTTTATCATATAATATTCAAAGCAAGAACAATTGAATCGTCCTGAGAAAAAACTCAAAATGTAATAAATATTAACGTTCATTAACAGTAAATGTTGAGAGACCGTCTATTACAGTAGCATAAATTTCAAGTTCTGTAGTTACTTTACTCGTGAAAACTTTGAAACCCACCCCCAGTACGCATAATATGATATATTCGCATAACAGTGTCGCCAGTGATCTCCAAACTCCGACGAAAAAGAAAAAAAAAATAAGCACAAGTACGAGACATTCGATCTTTTTCTTTTTTTTTTTACGTGAGACTACGAATATTGGTGCAAAACTCTTTGATATATATATATATTGGTGCGACTTCATGCGGATTACCACGGTATTTGGAATAATCCACGGAGTTCGAGGCGTCCTCGTTCGGCGTGTGAATCGCCGAAACGTCGGGATAAGCGGCCTCGTATTCATCCTGCGGATAATCAAGCTGCAGCGGGTGATAAACCGATGGACGATTCGTATACACTGGCCGATCGTAATTCCACGTCTGCGATGACTCGTATATGGTCGTTGGTTTGTTCGCGATGTCGGCGTACAGGTAGCTCGTCGTCCCGTGCTCGTTCTGACCGCTATACGTCGGTTTGCTCGGCCTTGCCGCGTTCCCGTAGATTTGCACATCATCGTCCACATAGGGATGCTGATTCCCCAAGTTTAACGAGATCGCTACGTTGAAACATTCTTTCGTTTTTACCCTTTTCCTTCCACCAATCGTCGATATTCCCGATCAATTTAATTGTACCTAATCAAACCACTCCCGTCCGCCTCGATATATATGTATGTACATGTTTCGTGTCACTGCGAGCGAATCTCCTTTTTTCATAACTTTTCAGAAACACATCGGAATAGAGTAACACCGTACGGTGTCATTAGTCTCGTACCGTTATCAGTGCACGTGTGTCGTTTCCTTTTCCCTCGACACGTCAAACGAATCAATCGACGTGAATACAAGTCGAACAAGTGGACTTTTGACATTTGGAACGTCTCAAAAAGATTGGTAACAGAGAGAGAGAGAGAGAGAGAGAGAGAGAGAGAGAGAGAGAGAGAATGTAAAGAAAATTGTTTTCTAAAAGAACGATTAGAAAATCTTTTTTTTTTTTTTTAAAAGGATTTTTAAAGCTTCGGTTACGAATAATGGACCGAAAATATGTTTTCATTGGCGATAGAATTCTGTCTCGGATATTAAAAGGAAATTCTACTCTTGTTGCTTATGGTAGTATGCTGTAAAGTGTTCTTTTGCATTCGTCTCTGCAACTGCGTCAAAGCATTTCAGCCGTAGAGTCATTTTCTAACATAAATTTTGCGGAAGTTGATGAAAAAAAAAGTACCGACAATGAATTCGTTTCACTGATAATTATCACGAGAATTAACGAGTTTCCCTCAGCTACAATTGTTATAACTAGACTGCAGACTTTTGTGGAAACGTGTATTTCTGACGGAATTTTTAATTTTGAAAAATGATAGAACCAAGATTGAGAATCATACACATACATACAATTTACAAGCGCTATACTTTGGATATTTTATATATATTTCCATTTTTAAACAAATCCGCAGCTTAATCATGAAATAAATTTCCTTCGATCATCGCCAACGAAACAAATTTTTCGTCACTTACGACCAAAATCATTTTAATTAAAAAGACGATTGTTGTCCTGGCGAACATTTTCATTCTGGTAACAATGGTCATGATCTCTAATGTTTGAAATTGGATATGTTATGGAGAAAAGGATTCAACAAATATTGTAAAGATTCGATGCGAACTCACTGGCATTCTGCAGTAATCCGACTGTTGGTCGTGTTATTTTATCAGGTATGTCGTCGTCGTCGACGCAGCAGCTCCATATTAATCCTCCGGAGCAGAGATCGACTGGACGACCACCTCCGAGGACGCAACTAATACTCAGGCCACAATCGAACGTCGTTCCTTTGTACGTACACGTTTGAGGTATCACTGGAACAATACATAGTTCCTATGTCACTAAAATAATACAGTCATTCCTTTACACTTAATTCTACCGATGATCTTTAATTTTTATATTTCACGCTCAATTTTGTACGTCGGATTGAAGACGTTGAACAATTTTTTTTTCTTTTCACGACTACGATGAATCTACGACTACGAAGTTTAAAGATTGAAGTTTATACAATGACCCCGGAAAATTTCTTTCTTCGCTATTTTACTGAAATTTGAACATCAGACGAATGTAACAAAAGAAATTTATATTCAGACTCAATGTTCAAAGTTCAATCTTTAAGTCTGTCGTAGATTCAATCGCGAAAAGAAATTCTCAATGTTTCTACATACTTTGATTAGTTTACAGCATTTCCGAGAAGGAAAATTCAAAAATTTTCCATCACTCACTATGTCATGTAAAAATACATCTTGGAATAAAATGAATTAGAGACTTCAGAACTTTAAACGAAATTCTAATAGTTTAAATATTCGAATATCAATAACTGCGAATATTAATAACTGTGCATTTTCAATAAATATTGCTTCAAATTTTACCAAAATAATAAAAATAATCATGCATCATTGCACTGTTGCTGAAATTTTCAAATATTTAGAGTACAAAACGTAACGTAATATATTCCTATAAAGGGCTTCTGCAATAAATATTTAAATTTCTTACTGAGCCACCGCGTAAATTGCAACAAAAGCCATTTTTCAAATTAATACTTTAATACTTCCATGCCGATCGCTCTACTCTATCGTTCTACCTTCGTTCTACCAACGTTAACAAAGATTTGTATTCTTTTTGTGTATCCTGTATTCTTTTTTTTTTTTTTTTTTTTTTTTTTT